AATTTTTATAATAGGTCAATTCACTCTAAATTTTAAAATAACGGAGATAAACGTGATCTGCTGAGCGTAAAATTTGCTATGCTACGCACTTGTACGACGGAGACAACACATGCGGGTTTGGCGTCCTCTTAAGAGAACACAACACCATAACAAAAACTGTTTTGTACAGGAAAAAACTGATAAGGCTACAGTCTTAACCATAGATTAAAATATTTTAATTTGTGGTCATATCTAAGGAACTAAATTTTCACCCTATAAGTATAAATATTAGAACATATTTTAATGTGCCTCATTGTTTATATTTTTCAATATCACAAGTACGAAAAAGTTCTAATTGTTTAAAAATGCATTATATTTTAATTCAATAACTTTTTTTGTAATTTATATATTGAAAAAATAAAAACAATATTGCATAGTAAACGTTCTAATCTTAATAATGGGCAAATTTCGTTTCTTAGTTATGACTGTATCCTTTTCGGTTCTTCCCACATAAAACAATTATTGCAGACACAGATAACACATATAGGTGTAGTGTATAGTCCTCTTAATATTAACTACAAAGTTATGGTACGCTTAAAAATTGCTTAAGAGTTAAGGAAATCAATGAGGTTTCTCATATCAATAATGAGAATGACAATCAGATGCGCAGTAAGGTAGAGCAGGGCTAAGCCTCTTAAACTTATACTATAGTCTCTCCAAAAAACTTAAGTGTCCAATATAAACCTGAGTTCAGCCCCCCCCTCCCCCAGATCTCAAATGCTATTTTTTTTCTATGCTTATAATTCATAGGTATTTCCTAGAACGAAAGTTTAGATCATATTATGAAGTAACTACTATCTAGCAGGGAACAGGCAGTAGCAGTGGCGGATTTAGCGTCAGGCAAAGTAGGCAGTTGCCTAGGGCGGCAATTTTAGGCCAATATTTTATCGAAAATAWACTCTAGGTTTCTTTTTGATTTTCTTATRTAAGGTGATTACTTTGAAGGATGGAAAATGAAAATGTTTAATATTTGTATAACATAATATTCTTGTTAATATAATTTCTTCATTATTTTATAATACTAATACATAACAATAAATGTCAAAAGTAAATAATCGAACGACTGCCGGAACGTATATTATCTATTATCTAAATACTAACCATAGATTACATATTTCGTTATTTTGTTTTTTTACTAAGTCGTAATGGGGCGGCAATTGTGTAAATCCGTCTCTGGACAGTAGTAACTTACACCAGWATCTAGTTAATTATAAAAAGAGCAATATTATATTTTATCATATTAGTTTTATTATTTGAGCATTTAGCTATTATATTATTAGTAGGTAATACAAAGTATCTAAAACTAGTTTTAACTTTTAAATCTTTCGTGAAATATATTAAAAATATAGATACGAGATATTGTCACTAAAGTAATGACATAATCAATGATATTACACATTTTTGCAAATAAAATATAAATTTGTTAACGAGTTCTTGGWATATCCACAGATTATATAAAAGTTTATATAAAATTATATAATCTGTGGTATATCCAAGACTCGCCCTTTACATTCTAGATGAATGAGATTAGTTTATGAAATACTCAAGGTGGAAAAACCACGAAAAATACCAGAAAGTTGTAAGATGATAATACCACAGAATAAAATAATACATCGTTTATTGAATAGAAACGGCAAAAGTTGTGTTCCATAAACTATGACATAAGAACCATCAATGGTTATTTGTTAAATAATGATTCGATATTCATCACATATTCACATGCAATTAAAGATGAAGAAAATCTAAGAACTATATTCTGCGAGGAGCCTTTCGAGTTATACAAATCGAGAATCAGCTCATTCTCTGGAAAATACAATTGATAAGAACCTATAGGTACTGATTTTATTCCAATATCATTAATGGGGGATTTTTGGGGAGAAACTATTCGTAGTCGATAAACTAAAACAATGCAGACTCATCATATAMAAATAAAACGTAAAATGAACGATTTAAATGGCATTACATACATTCAAAATCAAATAACGGAACACATGCAACAAGAGGAACAATATGTTTAACTACCTAGCGATACAATTTTATATTAAATATACTTTGTCACCGGAAGATCTGCAGTGGTTTTTATTGTAACTATAAACAATGTAATCATCATATGGTTTATCCAACGAAAAAACCAGTCAATAGGCCATAACCATCATGTCTTTTCCTGGTAGAAGAGAAACGGTCAAAAACCCTAAAAAAGACTACCAATAGCAGCTATATTGCTACAATATATGTAGCTGTACAATGATTAGGATTCAAGAAGTTTAATTTCTATCAATACTTAAAAAAAAAAAAAAAAATCAGTTAGGTAATTATTAATCCACAGATCGTTTTTAACTATAAAATAAGACATTTATATTTTATTTCTGTACACGTCATATAGTAATTAATGTTTCAATTGATTTAACGTTTTAAATAATAGTYATTATGAAATGTTTCAAAACAATACATTTTTTAGCACAAATAATGACGCCAAGAACAGAGACTGAAATCCAACTTTATTGCTCGCTACACTACTGGATGTGTACATCTCGAAAAATATCTTTGACATTTCATCGGGTAAGTCCAGATACACTCGATTCTCTCCAACGGTATTTATCAGCTGTACCAGGTTTGGGTAATTGATGATATCTTGTGAGTCACTACACCAGACGGTTAGAGTCGAGCCAACGGGCGATGTCTCCAATAAATATTGAAGTTCCGATATCGAATTGACTGCAAACGACGCTCGTACCGCGTAAGTCACTGGTTTCATGTATTTGTTTTTGAACAGTACGTCTACCATATCATTTATGTAATGTTCCGAATACTTGTCTGAAATGTTCATAATTTGAGTTTATATTTATAATTATTATAGACCAGGTATAGCAAGCATATTATCACCCATTCACCCAGCATGATTAGATCACATGATACAGATTGAAATTTGAAACATTCAACATTCATTTATCTGTATGATATGAACAATTACCTATGTACTTACCGTTATCATTGCGTTTAGTAGTCCAGCCTAACGATAAAATTGAATCTGGAAAACTTTTTGACGATACTTTAAGGAAAGTATCTGCGTCTACTCCAGGACTGTCTCCTGGACCGGGACCAGGTAAAATATCTGCATTCAACCAAGGAAGGCGATTTGGAGGTGAATCCTAGTGGAAAAACAGTATCTACTATCTATTAGTTGCTACAAACTAGTTAGTATTTAGTATTAATTTATTACAATATTATAGGAACCTAGTTGTTGTATATTTAATAAAATAAAAACATATATAATAATTATATATATATATATATGTATATATTGATATATTATAAATTTCAATACTTAAATATTTTATTTAGTGTAYGTTATAGGTAAGTAGATACAACGAATTATCACGATGRCCTCTCTCATATCGAGTCAAAAATATTTTAAATACTAAGAAAATCTATTAATAATTTTAAATAAAACTTGCTCACAACGTCTAAAAACTTCGTAAAGCAGGTAATAGATAGGTATATATTTTAAAAAATGTATAAGAATTAATTTAATTATAATACTATTATTTAAGTGATCGCTGTACTATAGGTATAGTCGTTACTATCATGCATTAATTAGGTATAAAAAAAGTGGGTAATTGGATACTAGCCTGCTATATAGTAGGCGTGTAAGCCAGTCACTGTATAATAGTGTAATGCATGTAGTCACGATCAACTGGTCGATCTTAAGATGAATATACTTGGTGATAAAATTATAAATTAATTATAGTAATCATACCTAWAACCGTTATAGTGATGTACGCGTAATTAAAAAGTTTAAGACTTAAACACGCTTTAACGGTTTGTATATTATAAAGTAGGTATTTATTAGCGAAAAAACATATAAGTTTCCTTCAGTTAAAATAATAAAACGCCTAATATTTTTGTATAATTTATTATTAAGCTGCATTTAAGAATATATAGATACCAAAATAAATAGTGATGGTCGATCATCAAGTACTTAAAATGTTTAACGTGCTCCACTCATTACCACATTTGGTGTCGAGGTTTCATTCAAATACTTACTTTAAAAGCGTTTTCAATGACTGGTGAGGCCAATTTAAATGCTTCGGTTGATTTAAAATCAAGTTTTATGATTTTATTTGAATTGTTCCACGCATTTAAGAATTCTTGAAGACTCAAGTCTGAAGTTATTGAGGGAGGATGGCCCATTATTGGTATCCGTTCAGTTTTCTCTCCTTCTACTTCATCAACCAAATGACCAGTAATCACATCAGCTTCAATCATTTTGGATTCACCTGTAGACAATATTTCAATWAGTTTATTGWTTATTTATCATTAAATAGTGCCTAATCATTTTTTCGTCCACCCACTATGGATGAGTTGAATACGTGTTTGAATTA